AAGCATCCTGCCTCCACCTCCTAAGTAGCTGGCTCTATAGGTGCACACCCCCACATCTGGCTAATTTTTGTAGAGATGGGGTTTTACCATGTTGGCCAGGCTGGTCTCAAACTCCTGACATGATCTGCCTTGGCCTCCTAAAGTCTTGCGATTACAGGCATGAGCCACTTGTCTGGCCAAGGTTGTTTTTTTTTTTGCAAGACGGCAGTATCACCTGGTCACCGCAGGCTGGAGTGCAGTTGGGTCAGCCTTGGCTCACTCACGCTCCGCCGCTCCGGTTTAACTTACCCTTTCATCCTGCTCAGCTCCGATACTGGGACTTACAGGCGCCCCGCCAACCCATGCCCAGGACTAATTTTTGTGTTTTTAGTACAGGACCGGGTCAACTGTGTTAGCCAGGAATGGTCTCAATCTCCTGATCTCCATGATTAAACCCGCCTTGCCTTCCGCAAATGTGCTGAGATTACAGGCGGGAGCCACTGCGCCGGCCTTTTGTTTTTTGGTTTTTTTTTGAGCGGGAGGTTCTCGCTCTGTCCCCAGGCTGGATGCAGTGGCCGGATCTCGGCTCACTGGCAGCCTCGCCTCCCATAATTACGCCATTCTCCTGCCTCAGCCTCCCGAGTAGCTTGACTACAAGGCCGCTACCGCCACCTCGCCTGGCTAGCTTTTTTGTGTAATTTTTTAGTAAGAGACGGGTTTCCACTGTGTTTAGCCAGGATGGTCTCCGATCTCCTGAACCTCGTGATCCGCCCTGCCTCGGCCTCGCGAAGTGCGGGAGATTACAGGGCGTTGAAGCCACCGCGCCCGCCTGTTTTTTTTTTTTTTTTTTAAAGGCAGTCTCCCTGTATTGCCCAGGCTGGAGTGCAGTGGTGCGATTTTGGCATACTGCAACCTCAGCCTCCCAGGTTCAAGTGATTCTTGTACCTCAGCCTCCTCAGTAGCTGGGACTACAGGTGCGCACCACCACACCTGGCTAATTTTTTAGTAGAGATGGGGTTTCACCATTTTGGCCAGGCTGGTCTCAAAACTCCTGACCTCAAGCAGTCCGCCTGCCTTGGCCTCCTAAAGTGTTGGCCTCCCAAGGCCTCACACTCTACAGGTGTGAGCCACTGCACTGGGCCAAAATTAAGGTTTTGATGTTTAATAAAAATCAGTTGTGTAGTGGTCTTTGGCTTATCTCCGTTTATATATTCATCAACACATAATTGTTGATGGGGAATGTATCATTGTGATACATTTCGACTTAGATCAAAGTTAATAGGTTTCCGCAAGACTGCCCTCTCACTTAGTATACCAGCTGCAAACTTGAGGGGCTCCTGTGTCACTTTTATTTCTGACCGAGTACAAATGTGGAGGTTTCTGTAACACTCAAGTTTGATAATTCACTTAGGATGACTCACAAAACTCAAGAAAGTCCAGTACTTACAGTTTATTGTAGCAAAAAAAATACAACTTAGGACCAGCCATCAGAAGTGACATATAGGACAGTGTCTGGGAAGGTCCCAGATGTGAAGTGTTCATGCCCTCCTATGGAGACAGGGTGGATCATCTTGGTGTCTCCATGTGTGACTATATGCACAGAGTATTAACCAGGAAAGCTCATGTGAGCCTCTGTGTCCAGAGTTATTGGTGCTTAATTACATCGGCATGATCCATTGAATCATTGGCCTTGAACTTGAACTCAATTTCTAGCTCCCCTCTCTGAACTTTGGGCTGCTGTCCTGGGGCTCAGAGCCCCAGCCTCTAATGCCATGATTGGTCTTTCTGGTTTGGCCAGCTCCCCAGCCCCACATCCTGAGACATCTTGTTAGTATAAACTAGGTGCTCACCGTGAATCACAGAGATGCCCTGTCCCTCTCAGGACATTTCAGGGATTTAAAGGGCACCAACTGGAGCTGGGACAAAGGCCATCCAAGCTCTTTGTTATACCACAGTCAGCAATTCTGCTTTCAGTTTGATGCGTAAGGACCAGGCCTAGTGATACCACATAGCTGACCTGAGCTGTACCTGAGCGCCTGCACGAGAAGACTGTGTGCTCTGTCTGTTCTGGTGGCAAGTCTAGTCAAGTGTCAGTTGATGAGTTTAAATGGTATTTTGAGCTACAACAAATTCAATGGGATGGAAATGTATGTGATTTCTATTGTTGAGAAGTTGGAAGTATTACTGGTACTGTGGTTTGTTTACATTCATGATAGAAGGAACTGCTGTACTTCAGGTAGAGGTTAGGAAAGATGAAGATAAAATTTTTCTCCTGTCCAAATCCATGGTCCTTATAAATGTTGATCGTGTATTATACTTGTATTAAAACTTGGTGTTTAGATGTTTAGAGGTTTAGGGTGTTTAATAATTTTTTTTTTTTTTTTTTGAGATGGATTCTCGCTCTGTCACCCAGGCTGAAGTGCAGTGGCATGATCTCGGCTCACTGCAACCTCCACCTCCTGGGTTCAGGCAGTTTTCCTGCCTTAGCCTCCTGAGTATCTGGGATTACACGTGCGTCACCACACCTGTCTAATTTTGTATTTTAATAGAGACAGGGTTTTTCCATGTTGGTCAGGCTAGTCTCGAACTCCCATCTTCAGGCGATCTGCCTGCCTCGGCCTCCCAAAGTGCTGGGATTACAGGTGTGAGCCACTGCGCCTGGCTGTAAATGAAATTTTCTACACATAGAAAAGTTGGAACTATAGCAGAGTAACCCAGCCTGTATACCCGATATCAGTATTTTAATTTGCTTACATTTTGCTCTGTTTTTTGCTATTGAACCATTTGAAAGTCTCATTAAATTGCAAACATCATGACACTTCTTAGAGTAAGGTTGTTATTCTTTGTAACTACATACCATATTTAAGAAAGCTGATTAGCCATTCATATCTAATATCTATGTCCTGTATTCAGATTTTAGCTGTATTTTTTAAGTATAAATGTTTGTGATAATACATGTAATCCCCACTATGTTTTAAAGGAAAAGCAAATTCGTATTCTCTATACTCGTATTCAGCACAACACTTCTGTGATCAAATGTGTGTGGGTTTTCTCTACATTATCTGTGTCTCATTTTCTTTTATTTTTTGAGATGGCGTTTCGCTCTTGTTGCCCAGGCTGAAGTGCAGTGGCATGATCTCGGCTCACTGCAACCTCCACCTCCTGGGTTCAGGCAGTTTTCCTGCCTTAGCCTCCTGAGTAGCTGGGACTATAGGTGCCCGCCATCATCTTGATCTCCTGACCTTGTGATCCACCCGCCTTGGCCTTCCAAAGTGCTGCGATTACAGGCATGAGCCACTGCGCCCGGCCCAAGAATATCTAATAAATTCTTGTAGTTACCTAGGAAGGTTTTGAGTTGTGCTCTGAGTGTTTTTTCTTTCCAGAACTGTAAAACCTAAAACCATTGACCCTTAAATTTTTGTTGTGAAACATTTCAAATATAGAAAAGTAGAAACAGGCAGTTAATATCTGTACTCAACATCTACATTCAGGAATTGCAGATATTTTGGTGTCTTTTCCTCTTTATGTTTTTAAATTTCTTTTCTGCTAAACCGTCCTTTCTTACCCTATTTTTGTTTTATTTGTTTATTTTTAGAGATGAGTTCTCATTCTGTCACCTAGGCTGGAGTGCAGTGTGGCTTGATCATAGCTCTCTGCAGCATCAAATTCTTTGGTTCATGGGATCTTCCCACCTCAGCCTCCCGAACTGGAACTACAGATGCAATACCACCACATCTGGCATTTGTCTACTATTAATAATGATGTCTTAGTTAAAAACTTAACTGGTAAACTCTTGTGATGCTGCTGCTAGTTCTAAACTTAGTTACTTCTTTCTCCTGCTGTTTTTTCCCCAAACTTTTTAAATGAAATTTTCTTTCTTTTTCTTTTTTTATTTTTTGAGATGGCGTTTCGCTCTTGTTGCCCAGGCTGGAGTGCAGTGGCGTGATCTCGGCTCACTGCAACCTCCACCTCCTGAGTTCAAGAGATTCTTCTGCCTCAGCCTCCTGAGTATCTGGGATTACACGTGCGTCACCACACCTGTCTAATTTTGTATTTTAATAGAGACAGGGTTTTTCCATGTTGGTCAGGCTAGTCTCGAACTCCCATCTTCAGGCGATCTGCCTGCCTCGGCCTCCCAAAGTGCTGGGATTACAGGTGTGAGCCACTGCGCCTGGCTGTAAATGAAATTTTCTACACATAGAAAAGTTGGAACTATAGCAGAGTAACCCAGCCTGTATACCCGATATCAGTATTTTAATTTGCTTACATTTTGCTCTGTTTTTTGCTATTGAACCATTTGAAAGTCTCATTAAATTGCAAACATCATGACACTTCTTAGAGTAAGGTTGTTATTCTTTGTAACTACATACCATATTTAAGAAAGCTGATTAGCCATTCATATCTAATATCTATGTCCTGTATTCAGATTTTAGCTGTATTTTTTAAGTATAAATGTTTGTGATAATACATGTAATCCCCACTATGTTTTAAAGGAAAAGCAAATTCGTATTCTCTATACTCGTATTCAGCACAACACTTCTGTGATCAAATGTGTGTGGGTTTTCTCTACATTATCTGTGTCTCATTTTCTCTGATGACTCCAGTGGGTTGTCCTACAGTTTAACTTAATTCTGAGAGTATCCACCGGGAAATAGCATCACATCCCACCAGACTGCTCCCGCTTCTCATGCCAATCACAAGTCCAGGTTATTCATTTTATTTATTTACTTATTTATTTTTTGCGAGATGGAGTTCTCACTCTGTTGCCCAGGCTGGAGTGCAGTGGTGTGATCTCATCTCGGCCCACTGCAACCTCCGCCTCCCGGGTTCAAACAGTTTTCCTCTCTCAGCCTCCCCAGTAGCTGAGACTACAGGTGCGTGCCACCACACCCAGCTAATTTTTGTATTTTTAGTAGAGACAGGGTTTCACCGTGTTGGTCAGGCTGGTCTTGAGCTCCTGACCTCAAGTGTTCTCCTGGCCTTGGCCTGCAAAATGCTGGGATTACAGGCATGAGCCACCATGCCCCAGCCAAGTCCAGGTTATATTATGTGCTTCTGACACACTAGCTATGAATTGGAGGCTCCTATGATTCCTCCTTCAGGTTTGCTAGTATCACTCAGAGAACTGAGGGAAACAGTGTATTTGCTAGATTATCATTTTATAATAAAGAATACAACTCAGAAACAGCCAGATGGAAGAGAGATGCATAAGGCAGAGGAGGAGTGTGGAACTCCCCTGCCTACTCTGGGCTCATCACCCTCCCAGTACTTCCATGTGTTCACTAACCTTAAGTTTCTCTGCACCTGTCCTTTAGGGTTGTTCTGTAATCTTCAGTAAGCCGGCATGATTGATTATGTCATTGCCCACTGAGGATCATCTTAGCTTTTAGCCCTCTGCTCTACCCGCCTCCCTTCCCAAGGTAGGGCTGAAAGTTCCAGCCCTCTCACCACTGGCGGGTTCCCCTGGCAATCAAACCACTTCCTGAGGCTATCCAGAAGCCATCAGACATCATTCATCTCATTAGCATAAAAAAGACACTGGTATTCCTAGAGTTTTAGGAATTTGGGTGCCAGGAAATGGAAGAACAAAGTGTGTATTTCTTCATGTTAACCTTGTGTGACAACCATTTTTTTCTTTTTTGTTTAGATCTTGTTGCATACCAAAACAGCAGTTTTAAGACAACTTGTTGACAGCCCAAGCTTCAGTTTGGGCTTGACGTGTTTCACTATTAGTGCTCCTGTATACTTTTTCATTAGTGGTCCTGGTGTTAACATTTGGGAACTTAGTATTTTTGCATAGTTTTAGGAATCTATTTTCTTTATAAATAACACTGTTCAGTGATAGCAGCAGGCAACAAATACTTTGATATGACTCTACTTCCTGAGATTACTGCTTTTATATCTGAAATGTTGAAATACTCATGTTTTAGCCTTTTTGGAGACAATACATGGTCATTGATTTCGTGATACCATATTCCTTTATTGAAGCAATCTGTGTGTTTATTTTTAAATAGGAAGTGTATCTCGACAATGTTAGTTTCAGTCTGTGTGACCTTGACCAAGTTACTTTAATGTCTGCTGTAGTTTTTCAGTTTCCAAGATGGAATAGTTATAGTACGTATCCTCCTCACGGTTGTGAGGAGTGCATGACACATAGAGAGTGCTCAGTGAACGATCATTTTTCTGGTAAGTAGTTGGAGAATTTTTTGATCTCTTTTGAGATTATTATAGAATGAGAATTTTGAGTTTCAGAATTTAAGTTCATGACACATTTTTAAGATTAGAAAAATTGCAGGCCTGGATACTGTTAGATATGAGTTCTGAATTTCTCCTCCAAGAATCAATATGTCAGTATGTCCAATTCTTTGCCTTCTGCTTTTAAAATTAACTTCCTCTTAAAGCAACCTTTCCCACCCTCATTCCGATTACCTGCTCCACCCTGACTCATTCTCTGCCCTGACTCATTCTCCACCCTGACTCATTCTCCGCCCTGACTCATTCTGATTTCCTGCTCTGCCATAACCATTTTTCCCGACAAACCACTCACCCCGTCACTCTCTTTAAATTAACCAATTGGAAATAGTTTAGCCTGTGTGGTCTAACCCTAGCCAATAGGGGAACGACACAGCAGCAGGGGCCACGTACATCAGGAATAAGAACCCCTTTCCCTCCCTTGTCCAGGTAGTATGCTCACCATTGCTCCATCTGTGAGGGTGCAACATTCTATAGAAGTAAATTGCCTTGCTGAGAAGAAGAAAAATAAAATTTTATATTCGAGTACTATTTATTTTGCAGCACTGAAACTATAACAGTACTTAACTATATTTAATGAAGATGGACTTAGCAAAGGAAAATCCAGCATCTTTTTTCTCTTAATTTCTAAAAAATGTGAACTGAAATAAAAGTTCAAAGAATAACATTAGTGAACACTAATATGCTCTTCACCTACGTTAAGAAAGATTTTGCCATGTTCATGTTGATTAAAAATTGTAGGTGGTGCCATTGTTTTGAGCTAATCTCCTGCACTAGGCCACAATAGACCAGACTAAAATCTAAATGGAGCCACTCATGGTTCCAGACCACCAAACTGAGGTGTTATTGGACCTTCCCGGAAATCAGGAGAGAGGAATAGCCTTAATTTCTCAAACCAGACAGTTCCAGTTGGCATGATAATGCAGTTCCCAATCAGTTATTTCTCTATGGTCCTGTTTTTTCATTCCTTCCTTACAAGGAAAGTAACTTTGAAATGACCAATGCACTTTTTGTTCTGCCATCCTGAAATAATCAAAAGGATCACAGTCAAGTTTAAAAGAGTTTTATTCAGGCTGGGCACGATGGCTCATGCCTGTAATCCCAGCATTTTGGGAGGCTGAGGCGGGCGGATCACCTGAGGTCGGGAGTTTGAGACCAGCCTAACTAACATGGAGAAACCTCATCTCTACTAAAATTACACAATTATCCAGATGTGGTGGCACATGCCTGTAATCCCAGCTACTCGGAAGGCTGAGGCAGGAGAAGAGCTTGAATCCGGGACGCGGAGGTTGCAGTGAGCCGAGATCGTGCCATTGCACTCCAGCCTGAGCAACAGAGCGAGACTCCATCTCAAAAAAACGAAACAATACAAAACAAAAAAACAAACAAGAGTTTTACTTAAATGCAAAACTGAGAGCAGCCAACTGGGTAACACAGAATCCAGAGGAATAGAGCCAGCCAGTCCTCTGAAACCGAAGAGTTTAAGGTCTTGCTTATTTAGGCAGAAAACAAATTTAACAGGATTGCCACATTTTCCATACAAGGTTGGTTTATGAGTTATAGCAATTTGATTAGTTACAGTTCTTTTCCTTTTGCAATTTAAAAGAGTTTATTTAACATTCCATCTTAGTGTTTTTGTGTAAGAGAAGGAAGTTAATCTACAATGAACATTAAGTTTAGGGGGATGGGGGTCTTCTCTGGAGCCCATTAGTCTTTTCCAACATTTTACAAAACAGTGTAGGTAAAAGGCTGATCTATAATCGGAGGACTAAAGCTGTCTGTCATGTGACTCAGGTCCCATTATCACATTTCTTTAAGGCTGAAAATAATTTAAAAACTTCCAGCAGATTTGATTTTGAATTATTTTCACAGTTCTTTGTTTCTGCTTTCTTCAGACCTGTTGTTTCTGTACATGTAGCCTCTGCTCTGCTCACTGGAATGCTCATTCTATTTTATGGAACAAAGCGTTGCTTGATTCTAGAATCGTAAATAAAGCTGTTTAAGATCCTTAAACCACATTATTGTAATTTTGTCTTTTAATACTTATGTTAACCCTCATGTATGTACTCTTTTCTTTCCCTGAATTATTTGAAGTTAACTTACAGAAATTGTGAGTCTATCTCTTTAGGCATTTCAGCATGTGTTTCCAAAGAATATGTTCTCAGGCATAACCACAATGTCCTTGTGCTTTTAAAATTCAATGATAATCTTACAATATCTAATATTTAGTCTGCATTTAAATTTCCCCAGTTGTCTTAAATGTGTGTGTGTGTGTGTGTGTGTGTGTGTGTTGTTTTTTTTTTTTGGATTCAGGGCCTCAGTTGCCCAGGCTTGATCATGAAGTGCAGTGGCTCGATCATGGCTCACTGCAGCCTTACCTCCTGGTCTCATGTGATCCTCCTGCCTCAGCCTCCTGAGTAGCTGGTAGCTGGTACTACAGATGTGCATCACCATACCCAGCTATCTTTGCTGTGTTGATCACTTGAACTCCTGGGTTCAAGTGATACACCACTCAGCCTTCCAAAGGATTAGGATTACAGGTGGAAGCCATTGTGCCTGGCCTTAAGTGTCTTTTGTAACTTTTGCCATCCCCCCAACCCCCAACCAAACCATGTGGTTTATTCATTGTGTCTTATTGTTGAGTCTTTAGTCTCTTTTAGTCTAGAGCAGTATGTCTACCATTTTTCTTTTTTGACACTGACTTTTTGAAGAGTATGGCCCACTTTTCATGTGCAAAGTCCACCTTACTAATTTGTCTGTTTCCTCATGGTGTTGATCTGAGTTGCTTCTGCATCACCTGTATTTCATATAAACTAGAAATTCGATCTAAAAGCTTGACTAGATTTTTTTGTTTTTTTAATATATTGCCACACTTCACCTGGAGCTAAAACAAGTTGTCATATCACATTAAGAGGTGGATAAAGAGAGGTTGATTCCCTTTTAATGATGCCAAATTGTTTTATCTTTCCGTTCTATTGTAGTGAAGGGTCAAGATTGCTCTATTGTAAAGCAACAACATTTTCCCCTTTATAATTAACAGGTAACTTATGGAGCGATCCTTTGATACCATACAGTTATTGTTCTCCAGCAGCCTTTCTCCGGATGGTTTTAGCAACTATTGATGGGTCTCTCTGAATGCAGGACCTTCTTCTTAATGGTCTTGTAATTAAGCTCCATTTGACAATATTTTCCATAACACTTGAAGGTTCTGCTAACCTAGAAATAATGCTAACTCTGAACCTAAATTTTTTTTGTTTCCTTCAGTTTTCATCTACAAAGTTAATCACTTAGTAGAATAACTTAACGTAAAGATGGTATATCTTTAAACAAACCTGAGCAAATTAAGTTTAGCCTTTTCCAGTCAAAGGAGAGTGGGATTTGTTTTAGGAAAGCTCTGGTTCATCTGAATTTTGAAAGCCTGCGTGGCAGCTATTAAAACCAGGGTCATTATTTTATTTTATTATTATTTTTTAGACTACATCTCATCATGAGGGAAGGACTCTTTTTTTTTTTTTTTGAAATGAGGTCTCGCTCTGTCGCCCAGGCTGGGCTGGAGTGCAGTGGCACCATCTCAGCTCACTGCAACCTCCGCCTCCCGGGTTCAGGCGATTCTCTTGCCTCAGCCTCCCGAGTAGCTGGGATTACAGGCGCCCACTACCATACCCGGCTAGTTTTTGTATTTTTAGAGGAGACTGAGTTTCACTATGTTGGCCTGGCTGGTCTTGAACTCCTGACCTCAGGTGATCATCCACCTCAGCTTCCCAAAATGCTAGGATTGCATGCGTGAGCCACCACACCCAGCCAGTGGAAGGGCTCTTATCTGGAGTTTTGCATTCTAATATTATTTAAATAGCCACCTTGTATCCTTCCCCTACTACAACTCTTCCTTCATCTCCTGTCTTAAATTTTTAGTCTATTAAGTTCAACTTGAAATGTTAATGAAGTGGAAAGCAGCAGAAAATATTGCTAAGATAAGCTTAAATCTGATAGAAGGGTGCACACTTCAGAATATCAGTAAGTTAAAATTCTCATTTGATCGAATGAATTTGTTAGGAGAAATTGATTTTATGTAGTTTAAAAATTTCTTTAATTTGGCCGGGCGCAGTGGCTCATGCCTGTAATCTCAAAAAATTTTTTTTTTCTTAATCTTTGAAGTCGTTCTCTAAAGAGCACAGAAAGGGAGTAGAGTCATGGTTTGTGTTTTAAAATTGGGAAATACTACATTATGGTTTTTTTTTGTTTTGTGACAGAGCCTTGCTCTGTCATCCAGGCTGTAGTGCAGTGGTGCATTCTTGGCTCACTAACCTCTGCCTCCCGAGTTCAAGCGGTTCTCCTCCCTCAGCCTCCTAAGTAGCTGGGATTAAAAGTGTGCACTGCCACACCTGGCTCATTTTTGTATTTTTAGTAGAGACTGGGTCTCGAACTCCTGGCCTCAGGTGATCCGTATCTGCCCGCCTTGGTCTCCCAAAGTGCTGGGATTATAGGCGTGAGCCACTGTGCCCGGCCTACATCATGATTTTTTTTTTTTTTTTTTTTTTTTTAATAAAAAGCTCTTGATCTTATTTATTGTATTTTTTTGAGATGGGGTCTCACTGTGTCACCCAGGCTGGAGTGCAGTGGTGTCATCTTGGCTCACTACAACCTCTGCCTCCCTGGTTCAAGTGATTCTCCTGCCTCAACATCTCGAGTACCTGGGACTAAGGACATACACCACCATGTTTGGCTACTTTTTTTGTTTGTTTTTTGTAGAGACAGGATTTCGCCATGTTGACTAGGCTGGTCTCGAACTCTTGAGCTCAAGTGATCTGCCTACTTTGGCCTCCCAAGGTGTTGGGTTTACAGGTGTGAGTCACTGCGCCTGGCCTTTACATCATGTGTTGTATGCTGATGGAACTATGCTAGTGGTAAATGTATACAGAGAAAAAGGATGGGATTGATTAGGCAAGTAACATGGTTGAACGTGGCCCAGAGATAGTACATCTTTTATTAGGGAGACAAAGGGTACTGATCAGTCAATTTGGTGGTGAAGTGAGTAGTTCTCTTTGCTTCTGTTTTCTTAGCCAGTAGCAAGCCTATCTGCTGAGGCTGTGGTTAGTATTGTTGAATGCTCACTTGAGATATGAGATTGAGGCTGTGGTTTGTATTGTTGAATGCTCGCAGTGAAATTTGTGTATGTTTTTCATCCACATTTAACCACTTTACGTTGTAAGCACTCTAGGAAGGGATTTGGGTTAGGGTTTTGCCATACAACAGTGACAAGAAGAGAAGGTTAAGAGAATTGAGAAAAGCAGTGGAATAATAATCATCATAATGTGATTGACCATCCATGAAAATCTAAGCAGAGTAATGAGGGAAGTTAGTCCCTGAGGGAGGTAATGCGATCCTGGAAAAACAGTAAAGCTGTAGATTGGTACTGGTTGCATCAAAGAATTGTTGGAGTGGGAGTATCAGTGTAAGAAAACTGGAATGATCAGAGATGGTTTTGAGTATGAGATACTTGAAATAAAAGGTTTTGGGGTTATTGCAGTTATTGTTGATAAAAAGGTCTATGTTGGGACTATGAGCATAGATGAAGTGTAAGGTAAGTGGTTTGAAGGGAGGGTGTCTAAGAGCCAGAGGGCAGGTTGAATGAATCGTGTGTGGACGTTGAGGTTGCCAAGAATGTTGATGAGAATCATGGAGGAAAAGAAGTAAAGCCGATAATATAATCTTCAACAAATGTGTGCAGATAACTGGTGGAAGATTAACAGGTAGAAAAGTAACAAAAAGGGATAACTATTATGACTAGTGTTACGACATGTGCTTCTAGGGTGAGGATTGGGGTAGGAGAGATGGTGCCAGGGTATGCGGTGAGAAATACAAACAACCGTCTTTTGGGGGAGCTACTGGTGGTAGGGTCATGTGGTCAAAGTAGACTGCACTTTACTGAAGAACGACTTTACCTTCTGGAGAGGTTTGGATAGGCTGGGGGAAGAGAGTGATAGGGGCCCATTCGACAGGTCTGAGTGGGAAGAGAGTTGAATGAGGTAAAAGAGGGATATGAGATTTGATGTGGCAGCTGGATAGGCTCTCAGGGAAAGGCAAGTAAGCAACCAGTTGTCCTGATAGCCTTCATCTTAGGCCTAGTCTCTCTAGATCATTGAGTGGTGAGACAGACCTGCTATATCTCTAGGAACCAAATTTGGTTTAAAAGATACACTGCTTCTGGCCGGGTGCAGTGGCTCATGTCTGTAATCCCAGCACTTTGGGAGGCCGAGGCGGGCGGATCACAAGGTCTGGAGATCGAGACCATCCTGACCAACATGGTGAAATCCCATCTCTACTAAAAATACAAAAATTAGTTGGGTGTGGTGGTGCACGCCTGTAGTCCCAGCTACTCCGGAGACTGAGGCAGGAGAATTGCTTGAACCCAGGAGGCGGAGGTTGCAGTGAGCCAAGATTGTGCCACTGCATCCCAGTCTGGCAACAGAGCGAGATTCAGTCTCAAAAAAATAATAATAAAAATAAATAAAAGATAACACTGCTTCCATAAAATGACTTTGGCATTTGCATGGGTGAGAAACTTTCTTTGAGACTCCTGAAATTCCTGGACCTTCTTTAGTTTCTGAAAGCTTGTGAGCAGAAAGGGAAAGATAGAGACGTGTTTGGCTGGAATTCTTTCTCTTGCCGAAGACCCTGGCCTACTGATCTTCAGCCTTGCTGTTACTCTGTCTTGAACATGATTTCCTGTGCTGCCCCCATGCTGTCCTTCCACTCTGCCTCCCCAGTGACCTCACACCCCCGTCTCCCACCCCCATACTCTGGTTCTTGGTGTTCCGTTAGAGAGGTGGGCCATGCTGTCTAAATCTTCTGTGAAATCCCAGCATCCACCCTTTTCTGGTGTCTAGCAGCAGGATGCTTTAGGATAATAATGGGGGTGCCAGACAGCAGCTGTATTGTATTCCAGATGATCTTGGAAGAACTTCACTTTTGGGTCTTGCACATGTCCCAGGCTTCTTTTTTTTTTTTAAGAGTCTATCACCTCTTTTTCTCCTTTCTACTTTGTCATGTCCTGAGAACCCAGGTCTTAGGAAATAAAGTTAATTGCTTTGGGACAAAATGCACTTTAGCTAATACTTTTGCTTAAAATTTTATGTTTAATGGCTCACTAGGCATAATTTTGCTCTCTTGATACTCTAGTAATGAACTGTTTCACTATTTTACAGAGTGCTTGTGATTTCACGTATTTTTGCTGGACTTGTAAAAGAGACACTTGGATGGTGGATTAACGAGACACTAACATTCTGTGAAAAGTTTCAAATTGGAGAATATTGAATTTTCACCCTAGTCCAGCAGCTCTGCTGCTCACTTAAATACAGATGAATGAAGACCCCATTCGGAAAGACACCTGGCCAGCGGTCCAGAGCTGATGCAGGTAGGCATTGCGGTTCTACACATACTTAAATACGTATTTTAGTATAATACATTTCAGACAAGTGTAAAATTGGGTACTTTCACATAATAGCTAGTGAAAAACTGTCGTTTCTAGTATGTTACACACATATGCATATATTAAGCAGATTTAAGTTTCTTGAAAGGGAAGTAGCCACATGAAATTTCTGTATAATCTTCTAGCAGGTTGTAAAAGTCTAATAAATTTAGCAAGTGAGTTGTAAATATCTGTTAATAGGATTATAGTAAAAGGAGTTCTTTTCGAAAGAGTTAAAGTGAGGTGACATGAGTTGGAGCAGCTTTAAGTAAGAAAGATAAACTTGGAATTTCTTGTGTTTATTTGAAAGAAGTTTACTGGTGTGGAAATTTTAATAAAAATTACATCAATCTTATTTTTGTGGCACATAGCTAGTATAACTCGAATAGAAGTTAGTCTTTGCCTGATTTTTAGTGTACCCCCCCAATAAAGATAAACAAAATCTTATAGGATACCCTATAAAATAGCTAAGTCATACTTTCTTTGGGACTTGAAAAGCATTCTTCTCCATTTCAGACATACGTTTGAATGTTGAAAAAAGTCTGTCATAATGTTTTAGGGTTCTTTGACAAATGAATCAGAATTATTCTGTAAAAATTATTATTAATAGTACAAACTTAAGTGATTTAGAACAATTTCTTCTATTTATTTACTATAGTATTGGGAGTTCCATTGTAGAAAAACCACAAGAATTAAGATCTCTAAGTACCCCTTGTCTTTATTTTAGATTCTGTTTTACAAAGATAATATTCATCTAAGTATTTAATATTTGTCAGTAAGATTAATTTGGGTTGGTGATGACTGAAGTTTAAGGCGTATGAGAGCTTATTCAGAATCCTAGCCCTTATTAGCTGTATAAAGATGGATACATTTCTTAGTCTTCTTGGGCCTTAGTTTTTCTCATCTAAAAATATGGGACTTTTTTTTTTTTCTTTTTGTTTTTTTGAGACAGAGTCTCGCTCTGTCGCTCAGGCAATGTTGGCTCCAGGCGATCTGCAACCTCTGCCTCCTGGGTTCAAGGGATTCTGCTGCCTCGGTCTCCCCAGTAGCTGGGATTACAGGCATGCGCCTCCATGCCTGGCCAATTTTTTGTATTTTTAGTAGAGATGGGGTTTCACCATGTTGGCCAGGCCGGTCTTGAACTCTTGACCTCAAGTAATTCTCCTGCCTCAGCCTCCCAAAGTGCTGGGATTACAGGCATGAGCCACCGCGCCTGGCCAAAAAATAGGACTATTAATGTACCTATTGGGGTTAAGGACTAAATGAGATGTGAGTCAAATGTTTAGGTAGTTGCCTGGCACTTTTAATAGTAGTATTATTGATCATAATGTTTAGAATAAGATACTTTTATTTCTTCTCATTAATTGAAAAAATTGCTGTCAGGTGTTTATTGACTTGTGAAACCTCCTAGGTTTCTGTCATTTGAAATAGTAATTCCTTTTCCAAAGTTCATATTCTGTAAGCATACAGCATTCCAGATTCAACATTCTTTCTTTTTTTAAATTTCCATTTTTTTTTTAGATTCAGAGGTCCATGTTCAGGTTTGTTACAAGGGTATATTGTATGGTGCTGGGGTTTGGGCTTCTATTGATCCTGTCACCCAGATAGTGAACATACTAGTTTCAGCAGGAAGTTTTTCAGCCCTTGCTACATCCCTCCTTCCCTTTGGAGTCCCCAGTATTGATAGTTTCCATATTTATGTCCACATGAACCCAAGATTAACTCCAACTTATGAGTGAGAATATGCAATGTTTGGTTTTCTCTTTCTGCATTAGTTCACTTAGGATAATGGCCTCTAGCTGCATCCTTGTTGCTGCAAGGGACATGATTTCATCGTTTTTCATGGCTGTGAACATTGTTATTTTCTTTATCGATATTGAAGTCATCTTGTGAGAAACCTAGCAGGCTGAGTAAAGTGAAGTGTAATATGGTAAAAGTAACTGAAGGAACTAAACCAAGAGATTTTATTTTTCTTAAGGGGGAGATTGTTAATCCTAACAAGTACTTTGATCTGAAATTTTCTTATTGTTTAATTTTTTTTAAATAGCATATGGCATAGGTGTAAAGATAAATAGGTTCTGTGTAAATCCTAGTTGGCGTGTTAGATATTTTAGCATAAGAGACCGTGAGTTTATTTTTTAATGTTGTGTAAGAAGATACAAGAAAAACAAACCAAAGTGCTTTTTCCTACCTATTCTCTCTCTCTCTTTTTTTAAGAGACAGGGTCCCTCTCTCTCACATGGGCTGGAGTATGGTGGTACAATTAGAGCTCACTGTGGCCTTCAACTCCTGAGCTCAGGCGGTCCTTCTGCATCAGCCTCCTGACTAGCTGGGACCACAGGTGTGTGCCATCAAGCCTGGCTGATTTTTTTGTAGAGACAGGGTTTCGCAGTGTTGCACAGGCTGGTCTTGAACTCCTGGGCTCAAGCGGTTCTCCTGCCTCAGCCTCCCGTAGTGTTGGGATTACACTTATGAGCCAGTGTACCCGGCCTCCACCTATTCTCTTGTAATTCAATACAACACAGTACCTCTGGTCACCCAAATGTGCGAAGAGGAAGAGTTGCTTCCCATCAGCAACCAAGCAGTTCTGCAGCATACCGTTTCACGTCAATCCAGTTCTGATACTGTCCACCTGGAGACAGCGTCAAATCTCACAGGTTGAGGGCTCAGTTCCACAAGACCGCTCCTTACTTCTGATGCCAGTTCAGGTGCATATCTGGGCCTCTGGAACTTCTGGACTGAACAGCTGTAAATTGGAGTTTCCACAGCCCTGTTCCTGGGCTTAATTAATTTGCTAGAGCAAGTCACAGAACTCAATGAAATACTTAACTTTTACCAATTTATTATAAAGGATATTACAAAGGATACAGATGAACAGCCAGATGGAAGAAGGAGAGATGCACAGGGCAAGGCATGCAGAAAGGGGCATTGGCGCATCTACCACCCTCCAGGAACCTCCAGGTAGTGTTGCGCCATCTGGAAGCTCTTCTAAACCCTGTCTTTTGGGGTTTTTATGGAAGCTTCATTGTGTAGGCATGATTGATTACATCAGTGGCCATTGATGATCAACTCAGCCTTCAACCCCTGTCCTGTAACAGTGGGTGGTTGAAAGTTCTGATCCTCTAGTCATTCCTTGGTCCTACTAGAGACCAGTTGCCATCCTGAAGCTGTCTCTGGTTATCCCATTAGCAAACGGAAGACACTTACCACTCTGGAGTTTCCAAGGGTGTTGGAAGCTGTAAGTCAAGAGGAGGAGGAAGGCCAAATATATATATTTCACAATATTACAGAAGTATACCCTATTTTGGAAAGATTGCTGACCCCGGGATCCGTATTGTTTGTAAAATAGAGTCTTAATCATTCTTCCTGTTAGCATAGACAAATGCTCTGCTGCTTTTAAGTCCCTGTATCAGTCACCAATGTGTCTGTTTGCAAATGAAAGAAAAATCACCAAAAAAGGGTTTTGTCTCAGGCAGCAAGAAGCCCAGGTAGGCATTTTAGAGTTGGTTAGGTGGCTCAGCTATGCCTTCAGGCAGGTGTCATCTCAAAGGCTTCTTCACTCACATAGGCTGATAGAACTTAAATAGCCTGGAGCTTTAGCCACCTGGCCGCCTGGGGCATCTCTTTTCTTATGGGGACCTTTAAAGGAGGCTTCCAGATAGTATCCCTAAGAGAAACTGTTACAGCTGTGTGGCCTTTATCTGGTCTTGGAACTTACACAGGTTCACTTCTACTGCATTCTATTCATTGAGGCAGTCACAAAGGCTCACCAAGTTTCCAGGGAGGGAGCATAGACACTATACTTGGTGGGAGAAGTAGCAAAGAATTTGTGGCTATGTTTTAAAACTGCTACAGTGGTAAATAGATTGGGTAGGCAACTTCCAACATCTGCCATGACCCCCAGTACCTGTCTTTAACATAGAGGGTGAATGATAGAGGAAAAATTTGAAAGTAATAATTTTATATTTTCTTTATCTCATTCACCGTATCAGGAATTTCTATTTTGAAAATAACGTATGTTTATCTATAATTATGTTGAAATTTAATTGGTTACTAAGTCGCAGTTTATGCCTAATGACATTGGGTAACAAGTACTATTCAGGTATATGGTAAAATTTTTTTTCACATGTTTTCCACTGGTGTTAACCTCCATTTTTAGTATTTTAGCAAAGGTTGCAGTATTTTCCTTTTCTGATATATTTTTTCTTTCTTTTTTTTTTTTTTTGAGATGGAGTTTTGCTTTTGTTGCCCAGGCTGGAGTGCAATGGCACGACCTTGGCTCACCGAAACCCAGGTTCAAGCGATTCTGCTGCCTCAGTCTCCCGAGTAGCTGGGATTATAGGCATGCACCACCACACCCGGCTAACTTTTTTGTATTTTTAGTAGAGTACAGGGTTTCACCATATTGCCCAGGCTGGTCTTGAACTCCTGACCTCAGGTGATCCATCCGTCTCTGCCTCCCAAAGTACTGGGATTACAGGCTTGAACCACCCCGGCTCCCTTTTTTTTTTTCCCCCCCTTTTTTCTTTGAGACAGAGTCTTGGTCTGTCACCCAGGCTGGAGTGCAGTGGTATGATCTCAGCTCACTGTAACCTCTGCCTCCCCTGTTAAGCTGTTCTCCTACCTCAGCCTCCAGAGTAACTGGGATTACAGGCGCACGCCACCATGCCCAGCTAATTTTGTTTTTTCGTTATTTTTTTTTTTTCTTTCAGTAGAGTTGGGGTTTCACTATGTTGGCCAGGCTGGTCTCGAACTCCTGACCTTGTGATCCATCTGCCTCGGCCTCCCAAAGTGTTGGGATTACAGGCATGAACCACTGCACCCGGCACATTTTCCCATTCTCTGGGGGAGCTTATTGACTTTATATTTTCCCACCTTTTCTGTTTTGTTTTGTGTTTTTATTTCAGTCAGCAACTTAATTTCTAAGTGCCTTCCCTCTTCCTCCTCCTTTTGCTTTTACCCAGGCTGGTTTCAAACTGTTGGGCTCAAGAGATCATCCCATCTCAGCTTTTCAAGTAGCTGGGAATATAGGCACATGTACCACTACACCCAGCTTTTTTATTCTCATACTTGTTTATTTCATAGATACAAGCAGCTTATGTTTCTGGGGATATAAATTACTTTTTGTTTGTTTTGAGAGAGGGTCTCGCTGTGTGTCCCAGTCTGGAGCACAGTAGCATGATCTTGGCTCATGGCAGCCTCAACCTCTGAGGCTCAAGAGATCCTCCCACCTCAGTGTCCTGAGTAGCTGGGACTACAGGCGTGAGTGCCCTCACACCCTGCTAATTTTTGTATTTTTTGTACAGATGGGGTTTCGCCGTGTTGTCCAGGCTGGTCTTGAACTCATGAGCTGGAGTGATCCACTGGCCTTGGTCTCCCTAAGTGCTGGGACTACAGGCATGAACCACTGTGCCTGCTGATAAATTGCTTTTTAAACAGCCTTTCTAGTATTAGCCTTGTTGCTTATGAGTTTCTTTGTGTCTCTGCTATTAGTTTCTGTTTCATTTGGAGGCTTTCCTTGAGTCTATTGATCCTAGGATGTTCCTCTAGGAAGGCACCAAGATGATGGCAAGCTGTCTGCGAGGAAATAGCTCTTGTTGCCTGGACTTCTCCTGCCTTACTGGGGAGTCTGTGAAGTGTTTTCTTTGGAGATGGATTATCACGTGTCCTCCATAGATGATGATCACTCATCTCTTACATTTTCTTATTTCTCTTTTAAGTTTATGTAGTCATATTTCTTTACCTGCTGCATCCCCAGAGACGACTGTCTGTCATACAAAGCTGAGTGAGCAACAAGGAGAGTATCACCTTGGTGGACTCTCAGTGAAATTTTCAAAGAAAGAAAGATATGGTAAGTCCTCACTTAATGTTGTCCGTAAGTTCTTGCAAACTGTGACTTCAAGGAGAACAAAACCAGTTTTTCCAGTGTTACAAGGAAACAGCTTTGAACATTGAACTGACAGTGTTCGAGGACCTGCTTTATATTGTTTTGTGTAAAGTCTCAGTTTCCAAGAACTTATCAATAGTTAAGTGAGAACTCAAGGGGAGGAGTGAGTCATAGGGTTGGAAGTCAGGAAGTATGATATAGATGGGGATTGGTTTAGAATTTCTAGTCCAGATGAGCTGCTGGATCAGACATTGGTCTTTATCTTTGGAGCATCTGAGTGTACACAAAGTTCATTTAAAACAGTTGGTCTTATTTTGGAACATGTGCCTGAGTAAGTCTCTGTTAAAACAGTTTTGATTGTATTTTGTTTCTTGCATATTATGGTTTAGTATAGTTTAACTGTTTTAGAGTCGTAGAATAGTTTATTTTATAAATTACGGTTCTATTTTCTTTAACAAATAGATATAATAAAGCTATATATTAAAGGATCTTCTGTTTCCCACTGGGAAGTCAGTGATGGGTGATATAACTCCCCTTTTAGTGACAAACTGATAACTGTGTCCAGTTAATAAGTACCCATTAACTTACTGTTCTTTACTTTTTCTGCTTAACAGTGTGTGTTGGTGACCACTCTAGCAGTATGTAGAGCTAGCTCTTCCTCATTGTTTTTTACAGATGAATAGTACTTCATTGTGTGGCTGTACCATATTCATTTGGTATCCGTTATTACTGGACATGTGAGTTGTTTCTACTCTTCCGCTCTTACAGATAATAGCTACAATGGGCTGGGCGGAGTGGCTCACACCTGTAATCCCAACACTTTGGAAGGCCAAGGCGGGTGGATCACTTGAGGTCAGGAGTTTGAGACTAGCCTGGCCAACATGACGAAACCCCATGTCTACTGAAAATGTAAAAATTAGCTGGGCATGGTGGTGGGTGCCTGTAATCCCAGCTACCTGGGAGGCTAGGCAGGAGAATCACCTGAACCTGGGAGGCGGAGGTTGCAGTGAGCCAAGATCGCACCACTGCACTGCAGCCTGGGTGAAAGTGTGAGACTCCGGCTCAAAAAAAAAAAAAAAAAAGGCTTACCTTTGATTTGTCAGTATGTCTTGGTGTTGTGTCACTGGGTAAATTTCTGGAAATAGAATTGAGTCAAATCTTCAATTCATGTATAATTTTGTGAGAGCTCACCAGATTCCCCTCCATCAATTCTGTATTATTTTGCATTCTTTTTTTCTTTTTTCTTTTTTGGAGATGGGATCTCATTCTGTCACCCAGGCTGGAGAGCAGTGGCATGATCAGGGTTCACTGCAGCCTCAACCTCTTGGGCTCAAGCGATTCTTCCACGTCAGCCTCCAAGTAGCTGGGACTACAGGCATGTGCCACGACGCCCGGCTAATTTTCGTATTTTTTGTAGAGATGGGGTTTTACCATGTTGACCAGGCTGTTCGTGAGCTCCTGAGCTTTGTGGGCCATGGTGCCAGGCCCATTTTGCATTCTTACCAGTAATAAAATATGTAAAGAGTTTCTGTCTTCTCACAGTCTTGCCAGTGACATATGTTGTCAAATATGTGGTTTTGTCTGTCTTGTGGGTGAGAAACGGTGTCTCTGTGCAGTTTTATTTGTGATCTTGGCTTGTAAGGGCCTATTTGGCCTTCCTTTCTCTGATATTACATCTATTTTTCTTCATTACTTTCATAGACTTTTTTTACATCAGTTATTAACCTTTTATCTGTGATAGGGATCATTTACCTTCTTACACATCCGTTGCGTGGAGTCAGTTTCTTGGAAACAGCCTTTCTCGAGTCCCTGGTGTCTCACTCCCACCTGTATGGGTCTGTCAGCCTATATCACATAAGTCTTGCTGGAACCTGCTGCTCTTCTAGGTTATATCTATGGTTTCTCAGATCCTATGTGTTTATGTTACTTTTCTTATTTCCTGAAATGTATCCTTCAGTAACTTCCAAAGAAGATGTATATGAAATATAATTTTTAGCCCATATGTGTATAGAAATGTGTATACTATCAGTTAATAATTTAACCAGGTATGAAGTTCAGAGTTCAAAATCATTTT